AAATACTTAATCTGGCTTTCCAATACTCGACAGAAGTTAAAGAAAGATCTGTTAAAAAAATCTTTAATTATATATTTTAATTATAAATATAAAATCATATAATATCAACATATAAAATGTTTTAAAAACATACATAGTATTAGTAGAACATATGATTGCTTTTCGTACTTTTAAGTAAAAAATATCCGGTTTGTATTACAGATGCCACGAAGCAGGAGGCGTCACCGGTCTCGTAGCCATTCGAGAACACGTTCACATTCTGTAGGCTCCCCACAATATGAGCATAAACGCAGACGTATCGATTATGAGAGTCCACAGAGCAAAGGAACCTATAGGTAAGTTTTAATCTTAGTTTTAATCTTGAATAGAATGTATTCTTTCATTATTTTTGATAACATATGATGCAATACTTTTGTATTAACATTCGTTTCGTAATAAGAATTTACATACAAATAATTTTTGATTTACGTACAAACTTAATCTGTGTCGTTCTAATTACTTAATCTATATTCTATACCGTTCTTATGGTAAACACCATGAAGATATTCAAGAAATATTTATTAATAATTCAAGAGTGGTTAATTAAATAATTAAAATTAAAATATGATTAAAAGAAATGAGCTCTTTCTTGTCATAAATGCTCGTTAAACAGAAAATTTTAAATCACATATAAAAATATACTTTATAACGATCTCGTAAAAAAACGTATTCAGTATTCTGCGAATACATGTGTCTCCCCATTTTATTGTCAAAGAAAGTTGCAAGAAAAAAGGGGAGAGTGCACGAGAGAGGGAACCAGTAACTTAACTGAGACCAATACCGCGAGCGAACGATCTCTCCCCCTCTGTTCCCACGTCATTCTAACCGGCAATAGAGCTTCTCCATGAAGTCTTCATGGAGGTTGTCAGTCGTGATCAGTGCGTTCGAGCCTCAGCAAGTCCCATCAAGACCTGTTCTTGACCCTCGTTGTTCGGAACGATTCGTGAATATAATACGTGAGTGCCGATGCGAGTGTCGTCGGTGATGCTCGCATTCGCCAGGAAATGAATTCACATCAAGGGTGATTTGCCGAGGGATAAAGAAGTCTTTTATGTCACTCATATCAGAGCGTTTTAATGTAGGGTTTTAATGTAGGAAAATTTATGAACATTTAGAATTTTATTTTGTCGAGTTTTTGAAGAGGTAAATACTAGTAGCGATCCAAATAATTTTCTAAATGAAACATTGAAACGATGTGTTTCTAAATTGACGTTTCTCTCGCGTTTATGAAAGATACAAATTTGCACTAGAATCGTTTTGGATATAGAGAGAAGTCTTGAGAATACAATCAATCCGCTTCCATTGTGTAAACTCCATAAAGTGTGCAATAAATCACTACGAAATATTTATAGAGCCGCAATCTGCCGCGCATACTAGCACGTCTTGCTCGTTTTATCCGTCTTATCGCTGTGGATAAACAACCTACAAATTATGCGAAACATTAAACTGAGATTAGAAAAAGAATGCATGAGCGAATGACATTCTAAATATATATCTTCAATTTTAGACCCCACTTTTATAAAGAGCACAAATTCGCGCACTAGTGGATATGCAATGTTTCATATTAAATTAATATTATCGTTATTATAATCTTAATTAATATTTTAATTAATTTTTATTTAATTAATATTTAATATTTTAATTTTAATATTTAACATTATTTTAATTTAATTATAATTTTATTTTGCTTTATTTTGACATTAATAATGAAGTTGTTTTCGCGTGTTTTACACAAACAAGCTAAAAATTATATATTTTTTCAAACTATAATTGTCGCGTCTCTCGGATAAATTGCTCTTGAAATTTGACACCAATTAGGCTCTCAGAGACACTCTTATATTCACATTGCGCTTCATTAACCATGCATCTTGAGTGGTCGCATGAGGATGAGTCATGTGGAATGCGGGCACGAATTACTGATTAATTAAAATGCTCTTTATATTTTTCTGCTTTAATTTAAGGCTGCTGTGAAGGCGTGCTTAATGAATAGTAGTAATTTCTTCTCCGTATTACTTCCTGATCTTCTAGGTCAATGACTGAACACTGAAACTCAACGATATCGCAGTAAAATCTTAAACGAACAAAGTGCCGTTTCTTTCGCGTTATAATAAATTATATTAATTTGTGCGATTTATTAAAAAAAAGATGCTATCGATCGCGCGGGATCGTTATAATCAAAGGCGCAAGGACAAATTTTAACTATGAATATATCTAATAACACAGTTAAATATTTCTTGGGAATCTGAATAGCGATGAAATTAGCCTATCACGTCAGTTTTTCAAGAAGATTGACGTTTTTTGCAATATTTATTATTTTTTTGCAGCCAAAAATTTTTTTAATTTTACTTACGCTACTTTAAAGTGCTATCTTATATTTATGTAATAATATAAATTTAGATTTATTACGATACGATTTTTTTTCGTATGCATAAATTTATTATTATAAATCATTAAATTGTACATATGCATTAATTTATGCTGATTATGCATATGAAACAAATCATACTGTAATAATTATAAATTCATTTTATAAGTAAAAGATAGCATTTTAAAGTAAATGAAATTGAAAAAAAATTTGTTCGCAAAAAAAAACATCAATATGACCAAAAATACCAATTTTAGTACATTTAATCTCAGTCTTCTCGGAAACCTGGCATGATAAACTAATTTCGTCGGATTTGTTTTCAGCGAACGAAAGTCCATCAGAAAACATTTTGTTTAAGATCTATTTTTGTATAACTGTGTAATCTACAAGCAAGACACTTTTGACTACAGATGTCTGGATACGCGATATTACGTCTATAACGTCTTTTTTTTGTAGCCAGGATGTAGCTTTAAAATCAAATATATAGTACGCAGATAGCGCGGTTGCGTCACGATGATTTATCACAATACGATATATTGTGATTATGATTACCGCGAGAATGGCTCGCACCAAAGGCGTAAGAGATAAAAACGCGTTTTAAACCTTACTTTCTTTTCGTGCGAAACCGTTACAATTACCAATTGTGAGTTTAATTTTTGATCTTACACAAAGAGAGGGAGTACATATGAATATAATTGTCGAGTCTCGATTATTGTGTAAATAAATGCAAGCTAATTATCGCTTATTCTCCAGCCTGAACTTCGAAGAAAGTCTTTGGTTGAACTTTTACTAATTGCGTCAATTAATGAATGCTGTGCGAATACAATTTCGTGCAACGGTAAATAATAATGACGAACACTTTTTCATGCTCGATGGATTGCTTGATGAAAGAAGAAATTCTTATTATGCGGAGTCTCGCACGCGATGAGTTTTTTAATCGATGAGACTCGTCAAAAATAAGGAAGTAAATTGACCTCAGATAAACAAATAATTGGAATCCACTTGCATCTGTTTTATATAAAAGAAATTGTGTTTCCTATGTTGCATGGCATTGCCACGAGTCGTTCTTGACATTATTCTAGAGAGATTTGAATTAATTGATTGATAATCTCGTATCCCAGATGTGTTAAGAGTTCATTTTGCTTCTCTGCTATCGCAGCTGTCGAGTGCAGTTATCTGTAATACAACTGGCAATTTCAATATTTTCTCAACGGACGAATTTCGTGGCCTGTTTTCAATCGTGGAATCATTGGAGATAACGTGCTTGCCAACCAGATATCTAGGCTTCTTGATGGATTATTCCTGTATTCGATACACGATAGCATATTGAAGTTTTATAATTAGATAACTTTGGCAAAATCACACAGACGTTGAATCATCGTAAGAGCATAATCCAGCTATTTGTCTGCAATCTCTTCCGTTAGGCTCACTCGTTCACTGAGATCACGCGAGCTTTGGCAAGGTCATGGCCAATCTCGAGCAACTTGATACCGAGTAGTGGAATCATCATCGCGTGCAAGCATAAGTGAAAGAGAAAGGAAGACAACAAGTTAACTTTCGCAACTCCTTCAAATTGTTTCTTCCTGCAATCAGCTGATCTTTTTTAGTAATTCTATTCAAAATTAGATCAATTTATTGTATTGCGCAGTGAAAGTATTTTCCTGTCAGATTTTCCAAGATTGAAGAAAATGCATTTGAAAGCGATAATTATAGCTTGTTTCCATTGCGCTAACGACGTTAATATTCGCATAAAGATTTTCATTATCGTAATTTGTATAATCGCACCTTCAACTTTCTAATCGCATTATATGGTAAAAGAAAATGTTACAAATTCTCGAAAGGGAAATAAAACCTATTACGTGATTTATATATATATATTTTTTCTTTGTTTATAAAAACTTATAATTCTTATGACGATTCAAAAGTCTGAAATCAGACAATATTACTTATCGAAAATTATAGTACATGTATGGAAGTGAATATCTTTAATTTATGATGACAATAATTCTATTTAGAATATAGAAGCAGAGTGCCAATCAATGATATTATTGTAGAAATAGAGTCTAAAGGATTTGAATGGAGCTCTATTGCATTAGGACATTATAAACACGTGCATAAATACTGATAAATACACATCTGATAAACAATATTATAAATTGTAAATATTCGTTCGATAAATCAACATTTTCTTATCATTAATGAATTCTTTTGAGGCTTCCACGGTTATTTTCTATACAGAAACTGTTTCGCGAGTGATCTTTGCTTTCATTATTAGAATCCCAACGTTTCGTGAATATTGTAGTTTATTTCATCAGAGCGAAGAATAGCTTGATGCAATATTAGGCTGCTCCTCGCCCTGATGAACTACAGTATTCGCAAAGCATTGGCATTCTAACAATGAATCTAGGCACAAAGATAACTCGCGAAACACAGCTTCTATATTTTCTTACCACTTTTAAACACTTGAAATTAAGCAAATTTCGACTCGCAATTATTTCCGTAAAATCGAATCCAGCGTCACGAGTCTTCATTGAAATCCAGGTTGCAAGACAAACGAAAATTAAAGAATGCCAGTCCTATACATTGACCTCGCTTCCTGGATACCAAGGTATAGTATAAATAGGTATAGTATAAATAGAATAATTTCTTTACAGAAACAAAATGTCTCGTAATTTTTTAAATATAAAGAAAATTTAAGATACTATACATTTCTTCTTTTCTTTAGGAAAAAATAATCTCCAAAATAATTTGTAGAAAAAAATAGGAGAGAAAGAGACGTGTCAGCAATGTGTGAATCATTGATTGTCAGATCAACATGTTTTCTTACACATAATTTTATGTCGTTTTATTTAATACGTTGTTTGCATTGTGGCACAAGCGCTTTAGCGATTGTATATAGAGATAAGGTCATTTGAAAATTTATTGATCTGCATCGCAGAAATGTATGACGTGCAAAGTGGAATATAACTGTTTTTTGGAAAATATAGCTTTGCTCTTTTATGCAATCTTTGTAACGATATCTGCCAAGTCGCGTGGGTGGTAAGATTAAGGATGAAACTGATACCCGATAACGATTCTCGTTTACCCCATTTAGTTATTATATATCTTCGATAAAATTGTTGACTTGGACAAGGTCCAAGACCCGGTGACAAATTTTACGAGTTTTTCTATTTCCGTGGAATTGCTTTCCGATCGATCGGAAGATCCGATCGGTACTATGTTAATTGAGGAAATTCTAAAACAAGGAAAACAAAGCCATTGTTGAAATGACATCTTTTATTTAAATTTACGTTTGCTCGTCGTCTCGAAAATTAGCATTGAATAGCTCGCTAGAAATTCGAATGGAAATCTTCAGACAAACTAACTGTGCCTACTGCTGGTAGATTCAAGTCGTTGCTTGACCATGAACCCATCATACGGTTGATGCCTTCGCATAGAAAAAAAAGCTAAACAATGGTCGTCTGGCGTATCATTCGAAACGATTTATTGGATCCTTTTGCGTGCCTCGACAGCTAGTAATCGGTTACTATATAACGATATTGGAACAATAGTTTTTTCTACATATGTATTTGTTCGGTAGATTAATCGGAATTAATCCTTTTATATGTAAAAGTTACATATTTCATTGATTGCTAAATAATTGAAATTCAATGTTTATTGGAGCTGCCTAAATTTTTTCGGCTTTTGTTCTGTTTTATAAATCGTCGGAACGTGTAGCAAATAAATTTTTGAATCTTTTCATTCGCATAGCAACTCTGTAATAATAACAGGGTTGCCATAGAACTCGGAAATGTGAAAATTGAAAACGCTCTAGTTAGAAAATTTTTTGAAAAATTAAAATTTTTTGTTTTAAAGAAGTTTGATATGCTTACATTACTTACCTAGTTTTACCTAGAAATATTATTAACTCAACAATTAAATGCAAGCAGTGTCAGCAATATTAATAGTAATTATATTGCTATGTTAAATTGCTCTCTCAAAATATTTAACAGTATTTTCATCCTGGTTTCCAAACCAAGATGAAAATACAAAAGATTTTAATATATTATTGAAAGAAAGGGAAAATTATGAAAAAATTATGAAATTGTAAGATGAGAAATATATGGCAATCTTGAACAATACTGCATATATTTTTACAAAGTTTTGAAAGGATAATATTGCATTGATCAACTGAAGATATAATTCTTGCGCGATTATTATTACTCTTATGAGCTTTTTATAAGTGATATTCCGCCCAATAATTGATGTGTTATACTGAAGAAATTTTGTTGTTTATTGTGATAATGAAGCTATTAAACAGTATTGAATAGAAAAAATATTTTATGATGTATACACACACACACACACACACACACACACACATTTTTAATTAATAAAGAAGTCTCATCTTTCTAAGTAAACTCGATAATCTATTTGAGGAAGGCAGATTAATTAGGTCATTCCACGTTTACGTACACAGAAGAAGAACATGTCATACGTGACACGGTGCAACCTTGATTTCCACTTAGTTTCGCTCCAGATCATGTTAAACGTTCAGCTTTTGCGCTGCATTATCATTCGACACACTTTTAAATTGGCTCGAATTAAATATTACAATATTTATCGTACGAGAATCTGTTTTTGTGACATACTTTGAAAGTATTCTGATATTTAGACGATACAGTATATTCGACTTTTACTTCCTGGTTTAATTAATATCTACTAAATTTCGAGGTATTGTTAATTAATTTCTTTTTTCTTTATTTCAGCGGGGAGCGAGTGCTGAGGTCCCGTCAGCACGAACGGGGAACCAGCCAGGAACGACGTTATAAACGTAGTCATCGGCGATCGCCTAGTAGCGGTAGACAGCATGGGCATCGCGATCGTGATCGTGATCGTGCTCACTTAGCGCATCCCACATCGTCCCGTCGTACGCGCCTACATCGTCATCACGAATCATCGTCGCCTAGCCAGGAGCGGCATCGTCATCGATCGCCGTCCACCAGGAGTCAGGTGAGTCTGAGGGACAATACGACATACATTAGCATCGATTATTACGCGCTCCTGTTCGTTATATGTTTTACTGCGCCGCGTGACACGATCGATGATCTACAAACAGTCGATCAGATCATGCTTTCAACCCCTGATCTATGAAAACATCAACAGCAGATGCCCATTGTACTCTGTCGTACTTATCAACGATGTTTTGATGAAAGAAATTTTGTCTAGTTGATTATTTGAAGGAAAGCTCCAAAAATTTCAAATCTTTTTGAATCCACATTGTAAAAAAAGATGAAAATTATATGTTCTAATACATTTGCCATATTTTGAAACATATGATATCTAATTTTTTTCTTAATGTATATGTGTAAGATGGCTTGGAAATCATTTCCTTTATTCATATATACATGGAACGTACTCTCTTTGAATATCCTCGTGGAAATTTTACGGTAAACTTTGATAGCGGTTTCTTTTTAATAAAGTGTTTTTATATTCTTTGTTTTTAATCAAACTTTTGTTAGACTTTTATACGGTTCGTTAAATTATGTCTGCAAAAGCCTTATAAAGTGATTGAAGTTTTATTACCATCATGAATGCTGCCGTCATAAAATTTCACTGTGCATTAATAAACTAATTCTTTATGCACATAGTGAGGATTAAGCTAAATTTCGCATATTTCTATCAAATTTCGAACAAACAATAATAATGCATGCATGAAAGCGTAAAAGTAAGTCAGATACAAAAACTAAGTCGAAGTTAACGGTCAAGAACAATCTGTAAAGATTATGAAGAGATTATCTTCTCAATTTCTAATTCAGTCTTTGGGGTCCAGTTCTTCGTATTACACGTGCAAACTTCGATCTTATACCACCTATTGAGCTTTGCGATACATAATGGAAACTCTTGATGATGATGATCGATATGTAGAAGCGTGAGGACGAGTAGGATACAGAGGGAGAAGAGTTAGCGCGTCGACGCGCTCGACCAAGCGAGAACAGTCTTTGGAGAATCTCGTAGCGCAACGGGCACGCAATGAGTGTATACCCTGAGCGAGAATGCCGATGATTCTTCTTTCTTACTCGACGCCGGCTATTTTCGACCGACGACTATTTTCGAGGGGGACTCGTCACGCGGTTTCGCCGCGGTTTTAGTGCGAGTTTGCGCCAGATGGCCAACGCAACATCGTCGCCGCCGCCGCCGTCATCATTATCATCATCAAGGAACGTTGCGCCAGCAAGTTGACCGGTTCATCGAAAGCAAACGAGAAAACTCCTTCGTCGCCGATTTATCAGGAAACATACGGACTTAAAGAACATCCTCACAAATTCTCAACCTATTTATATATCTGAGCGTAACGCATCGACGAAGTTATCGAAAACATTTTTGCATCTGAAACGATTGAAGCTTCAACTAATCTTTCGAGAAAGTACCTCAATAGTAACAGATTGGTTTACTGAAAGTTAGACTCTGTCTTCGAAAGTAAGATGTTGAAGCAAAATTGTATCGATTCAGTTTCATCGCCACAGTAAGAAAAGTCTGGCAACACGATTGGCGGCCCAGAATCGTTCAACCTGGATTTAGAAATACGCGCATCTTGGTAGTTGGCAAGATGCGCTCGTGAGACGTGGCGCAAGGTGTAGGTGCCAGAGTAGTGAACCATCTCCTGTTTCACGCATCAACCATCAACCTGGATCCTGGAGACTGGACCGTCCTCGGCGGCGGCGGCGATACTTTGGCCGACGGTGGACCGCCATCGGCCACGTCATCGTCGTCATCGTCCCTCCAGACTCAGGAACTGAGTTTACTGATGCCTGGAAACGTCCCCTGGTGGCCGCGTCATAACTGGGACGCGTGGTTGCAGCGCAATGTCACCGAGACCACCAGGGAACTCGATATGAAACTTGACGTCACTCCCGAAACTAACGATACATCGACTTCCGAGGTAGCGTCGAGACCTTCGTATACCATTACGATATTTGATATTAATTATTTGCTCGAGTACGTGTATATTTGTACGTGCGCGCTGTTTATGCTCGCTATTTTCTGCGATCCTATACTGACTTGAAACATTCCAATTCCCTTTCTGTGCATTGAACTCGAAAAATTTTACATCATAATCTTGAAATTCTTCAGGAGGAAAGATTGTTGGCATCGAGACGTTTAAAAAAAGCAGTTCCGATTAATTTGAGCATGATAATTCATTCTATTTTAACTATTCAGTTATTAAAATATTGTAATTAATTTCAAGAGATATAACATTTTCTTTGTTTGAGTATTTATTAGTCAAAATATTTCTAATAGCTTAACCCTCCGTGATCATACTTCTTGAAAGTTCTGTAATGGTCATATCAGGATCAAAACTTCAGAGCGTATTTCATCGATTGCCATATTCACAATTTCCGTTCTTTGAAATAAAAAAATTACTAAATATATTTTAACATTGTAGAACATAGAAATATAACGATTTTATACCAATTTTAATGTTAATATTTTAAAAAATCACGAAGGTGAGTTTTTTTACTCAAAAAATTATAAATTAGAAAAATTTTTTAATAAACATTTATGGCTATACACATATGACACTTTCAAAAAAATATTTATTTTGCGAAATGAAGGAAACTATTTTTGGGAAAAAAGTATTAAATTACTGTAAAAGATTGATTATTATATTAATTAAAAATATACTAACTAGAGATATATATCCTCAAAATTTTGTCAAATTGACCTCAATGATCACGAATTAAAAATTACGTCATTTAAATATATACGAAAATACGTTTTTTCTTTGGTAAAAGGGTTAACATGTGAAACGCGTGCGTCCATTTCTCTTGGCTATCCGCCACGCAGCTACGATGATGACACGGCACGAGCCTGCCGAGCTGATTAGCCGGCCAGGACTTTAACATTTAAGCGCGGCGTGTTGGGTTTTCTGTACAGCATGACGAGCATGGCGCACGCGTTTCAGGCCACGGTTTATATTTGGCGTAGCCCGTTCACGACGACGACAACGACGACGACGCAACTTGGAAAACGAGAAGCGTGTGCTCCAGCACGACGTCGCTTCCCTCCATCTTTCTCCTCCCCGTTTTTAACCCAATATTATGACCTAACCTTGGTCAATATTAGTAGGTAGCGGAAGAAACACGCGTAACTCTTTGCACAAGCAATGGCGCTTCTGTTATAGCAGCGAGCAACATAGCGGAGTAATTTATCGCGATACGATAAAATATGATCTGTTAGGCGAAACATTTGTAACGATGATCCATATTGATTATGTGACTCTTCTATTATTCTATATTCAGTGCGTTCATTCTATTTGACCTTACTCTTCTATTTGTGTAACAATAAAATTTGAATAGAAAAAAACTTGATTTTTTGAGGATTTACGATTGAAAAATATTTAGTTTATTCCTATTCCGATAAACGAAATATATATTTCGTTTTGTATTTTTAAGTGATCTGATTTCTAAATTAAGCCAAATTAATCAGTCGCTTCGCCAGAGATATTTTGGAGATGATTCTGAGACTAATGTGGTGATATTCGTAGGCGTGGATCTGCGCGAACAAACTGCGTCGCTATTTTGTAAACGGCGTGTATTTATACCAATACTCGGACTTAAAATCTACGACGATAGGACGATATCTTCGACATCGCAACCTTGGAGACAACTCGAGCTTTATTAATAGTATTAGAGTCCACGAACCTAGTTCTAACACTAATTCTTTAGTCAAGCGCTTTTGGTTTTAGATCACCAAGTTTTTAGAGTTCAGCGATGTATGCTCCATTTGTTTATTCATTTCTCTTTTGATGTTAGATTCCACTTATTTCTACATAGGACAAGATCGAACAATTTTAATGATTATCGAGTTAGATGATCAGATCTCACCTGAAGAGATTGTTTTTAATAATATTCATTTGATTTTCTTAAATCTAAAAATTAATAGAAACACTAGCTTCAGTTAACGCGAAGATATCTTACCTTCAAGTTATCTTTGAAAACTTAGTTTTGTCTTGTTCATGATTGGAACAATGACAAAATTTTGATTGAAAGGAATTTCAATAACTGGATAAATTATAACATGGATAACCGTACAATTTCTCTCTTCTCTCGTATCTTTTCATGATTATTAACTTTCTTCAGAATCTTCCAGAAGAGGCCTGTGCTATAAAACTCAACATCTGTTCGCCATCCCAATATATATATCGCTGTCTATTAAAAACAGTACCGGCCATTATTGAGTAGACAATATTGGGCCGTGCAATAGACCTACTCCACATTTGATTGGCATTTCGAAATTTCCATGTGTGTCAAGGTATACGGAGCAAGCAAGCAAAAGAGAGAGAAAGAGATTGGAAACACGCGCTTATGGTCTGCTGATGCGTTTTGTCGCGTGCCCTTCATGGATATCTCTTCTCTATGCACCAGGAAGCACGACGCACAGCGTTGCCAAGCATAAGCTCGCAGAGCTTAGGCACGTTTCGAATAAGCGTTTCGAGACAATTTACGTAATACCCCGTGGATCCCTCTCTTTTCCTATTTCTTCGCCCCTCTCGTCTTCTCCACTTTCCACCTGCGCTTTTCTTCATCTTCCTCCAATTCCGCTCGTCCGTTTCTCCTTCGTTGTAATCGCGTGTGCGAGTTACGTTGATCGAACCCCCCCCCCACACACACACACACACGCACGCACGCACACACACACACAGAGTTACTCCGTATCCGATCGCTCTCGAAGAGTCGCTTTCGAGAGAGGTGGACGAATCGTTCTCTTCGGAGCGGGCACACCACTGCTCCCTGATATTTTTAGTACGACGAGAGAGTATTTGGCGGGGCGCACTGAGTTTCGCCTTCTCCTTCTCCTCGTTGTCGTCGTCGCCGTCGCCGTCGCTACCACCGTCTTCGTCTTGGTCTTCATCTTTATGAACGGCCGACGTTGTTCGTCCGTCGTCGTCATCCCACTGATTGTCATCGTGGTTACAGTTCAGTGCTTTCTTTCCTCGGGTGGCGTTCTTTCGCCTTTAGTGATCGGCGTGCTCGCGCCTTACCGTAGTGATGTATCTGCGTAGAAGACCGTTTCGTCAGTCTCGGTGTCTTCGTGTTCGTCGATCGCTCTTGCGGCCACTCTTCTTCTCGCATGACTTAACTACTACGGCTCGGGCATGTTGCGCTGAGATTGTTTCGCTAGATCCAGGACGATCTTGAATGATTTCGATCCGTCGAGGGTCGAATTGGTTGGTCTGGAAAAATTGGTGGTTTTACGTAATTCGAATTTGACAGCGGTCTCAAGCTGCTAGTTCCAAATGTTCATATTCGCGCCGCGCGACATGTCGGCCTCCCGACACGACTCTGTCTCGCGACGGGGTCGTTTCGCGCGCTCGTCCACAACGACGAGCGTGACGCAGATGCTAAGCGACTCCTGCACGAGTCTCCTCCAGAAGCTGACTACGAGAGTACGCGGAACGTCCGCGCTCAACGACGGCGATGTCGGCCCCACGTCGAGGCGACGATCGCCCGTTGTCGGCCGACTGGGTGCCACGAGAAGTCGCTTGGAGAACAAGTATAGCACGGTTTTAGACAAGTATTCCGGCAAGAGGCACGCCGACGATTCGGAACGAAACGGTCGCGGTTATTCGCGGAAGCACGAGCGAGATCACAGCTATTATCACCGGGACGACAGTCCGTTCGTGCGCGACGACAAGACTCTAGAGCCTTCGATGACTCGTACTGTCATCAAGAGTCCCACTAGCGTGCTTCTCAGCGAGAAAGCTTATCCCTACGTGAGTTCCGCGATAAGCAGAGAATCCAGACGCGAGAAGACGCCCGCCTACAACCGCACAGCTCGGCAGACTTTATTGAATTCGGAAGCTTACCGCCGTTACGGCAGGCACAAGTCCGGACACGCGGAAACGCGTAATAGGAAGGTGAGGCCGCATCGAAATGGCAAGAGCGAGCAGCTGGAAGCTCATTCGACGTCCCTAAGATTATCCCGACCGGTCAAAATCGAGCCATTGACGTTTGCGGATAGTAAAGAAATCATGGTCGATCCGGACAAAACGCCAGTCGCAAACGTGGAGAGCGTCGCTCAGAATGTTACGCGGAACGAATGTTACGCGTACGACGCATTAACGGAGGATGCGGATCCGGCGATTTCGGACCGGGCAGCCAAGCGAAAGGAGATCCAAAGTTTAATTCTGAAATACGCCGCCATGGAGGACACCTATAGTCAATTGGCGGCTGGTGGACAGGCGAACGTACTTCCCAGCGCGACGGATCTCATCGCCAGCAAGTACAAGAAGAGCAATCACCGCAGCAAGCAGAAAGACGACGTGTCCAAGGGCACAGTAGCCCCGGTTAGCGCGAACGCGATTAGCGAGGTGGACACGATTCACGACGCGATCGTAAGTTGTCGAGCCATGGGTTGCCCGGATTGCGCGATCTCGCGAAAGCGACGCCGTTTTAAGCAGAGCGTGTCCATTGCCGCTGTTGTCTTGTCTTCCTCCGTTCTCGCCTGCGTGTTTGCGTGTGTGTATGTATTTAATTGCAGACGCGCGTATCCAACTCGTGTGTGAAATCCCTTTCCGCCCTAGCACTCCCTAGATTCACGCTGACTGATGTGTCTATCTCGCGAGCCCGTTGAAAAGCCTATTAACCGTAGTAATCTTCGTTGCCTTTCCGATAAGCTAAACAATGCACGTCTGCCAATGTTTGCCGTGAGAGTACCACGAGGATATGTTGGGATACTCTGATGACTACCACGCCAATCTACCTTATCGCGATTCCGAATGTAATATTTATCAATCTACCTCCTATTTCCAATTTGGGGATTAAGAGTGACACGTTCCATGAATAACATATACATATTTATGCGATGTAGATATTGATTATATTTGTGTGTTAAGGTTCTAATGGAAATTATCTGACCATTTAAATTGTTTGGGAAAACCAAGACTATCTCGGTATATACTTGTGAAAAACGAAATTGAATCTTAACACTAAAAGATCGGTATTATGATCGAAATTGTATCCACATCAAAGATGCAACAGTTTTGTTTCTGATTATCTCTATCCATTTTTTTATAATCTTAATAACATGTTGAGAGTACGAAAGACTACGAGGGAGTACGCTCTGCTTCTCCTCTTTCTGTTTGATTTCACCGTAGAAGTGACTAGTGATCGACGATCCGAAAAATGCGACAGTACAGTCCGCGTGTCGTATTCTCGATAAGGTAGGGTCGAAACCCCGATCAATATTGCTCCATATTGCGGCAATGAGGATCGTGCCCCATGAGGATCGAGAGATATCTCTATCGATCGTCGTGGAGCAGTGGTTTACGCGAACACGTAAGTACTATGACAAGTCTATCAAGCAATTAACAATTTAACTAAGCTACCTCTCCGTGTTAGATGAAAGGTAACGTGTTACAAGCACTTCGAAGAAGCTGTCCGGTTGTCCGCGTTTGTTTGTTTTTCTCTTTTTTTTTTTCTCGTGTCTACACAGAGTGATTCATTTTAATCTTAATAGATAAATATTTAGAAAATATACTGTTTTACCAAAAAAAAAAACAAAAAAAAACATTCCAAATAAAAATTGTGTGATGTAAAATAAAGAGGGGATCATTATTACGTATCTCTCCCTCCATACCATACAATTTTTATTTGGAATGTTTTTGGTAAAATTGCATATTTTTGAAATATTTGTCTGTTAAAGATTAAGATGAATCACCCTGCATATTTTTCGTCGAGATTGGGATTAGAGTAAATCAGAATAATTCGTTGTTTTTGTTCGTAAAATTATCGTCGATCAAATATAGCAGTATATATTGTCATTTGAATCATTGTCATATACGTTATCGCGATTATATATACGTGTACATAACGCACATGATTCTCTTTCTGCTTTTCTCTGTCTGTCTACGTTAGAATGTGCATTTTGTAGTCGTTTCATGTCGTATCGAGTGCTCTAGTTCGTAGAGCCGTGCGCGTCTTGAGACGGCTCCTTCAAGGCATATATCAGGTCTAACACGAATACATATATAACGAGTATATAAAAAAGCGAGCGAGATAAAAAAAAAGGACCGAAAACGGATAAATAATAAAAATAAGAAAACGACTGCCGTATGAAAAAAAAATAAATAAATAAAAAAAAAAGCATAGAATAAAGAAAAAAAAAAGTAACGAAAAGAAAAGAAATATACATATTATGTGCCGATGGTAAATTCGTAACCGCAACTTTCTGACTTGGCAAACCATTTTGCCCTCTCCCCTTTCTCTCTGATTGTTGGGTTACCATCTCCGTTGTAATGGAATGGAATGGAATGGAAACGGATATGGCACACACGGATTGGTCACAACTATGGTCGACCGGGTGCTCGGATCGGGTGGCGTCTCTCTCTCTCTCTCGGTGACGATGACGATGTTATCCTACCTTCCTACCCCCACCGACACACTCGTACGTTCGTCCCGTGCTTACACACGTGTCCTCTGCCGCGTGTTACACGGGTCTCCGCCGACTCGCGGTGGTGGTGGCAACGATGGTGGATGGCACGGTGTGTGGCGATCGGTTGATGATCGGCGACCGCTCGACCTGGTGTGCATCTGATGGCCACGTGGATACGGATGTGACCTGACCTGACGACCCATCGACCGCCCCAACGGCGCCTCAACTCCGGATATGTGGCATCTACGTCCGGCGCGACCTGTTACCGAATCGGACCGACGCGAACACGGAATACCGAACACGGCGGGTCCGCGGCCTCCGATTGGGTCCAACTCTTGGCACGCACCGATATCGATACGCCGGCCCAAATAGAGCCCACGACCGCCCTCCGTCGAGGACGACGAAGACGGCCACCTTGTATACCAATCCGGCGATCTCCTGGCCAATAGATGTTCGTGATCATGTGAATACACTCATTGTAGTAGATTTAAGCAAGCCTCAGGTCGATTAACTGATCGGTTATCTACGGTATCTGCCCATACTTTCTCTCTCTCTCTCTCTCTCTCTCTCTCTCTCTCTCTCTCTCTCTCTCTATCTATCTATCTATCTATCTCTTGTCTCTTTCTCTTTCTTTCGTTTCTTTTTTTTTCCTCTCTTTTTCACTTCTCCTCGCCTGAATTATAGGTATTATATATGAAACAATATTTACACTACAATACAAGAGTAACAATTCACGCGTTAATCACGTTATGTGTCAATGTTCTCGCTGAATGTCGCCGTTCAGTATACACACACGCGCATATATAGAGATATGTTGTATACATTTATATATATATA